TTATTTTAATATAAAAATAAAAATTATTTCTTATTAAAATTATAAATTTTTATATAGAGAAAAAATTTTAATTTTCACTATGTTTTATTAGTAAATTTAGCCTCTGAGTCATTATTTTTAATCACCACTGTATATAAATTCTTGAAAAGAATATTTTAATATTAAAATGTTAGATATATATTAAATAGTTAATTATTCTAAAAATTTTATTAATTAGAAATAAATATATAATATAAATATTATTAAAAAAATTTTAAAATAATATAAAATTACTAATTTAGTTAAAATTATAATTTAAAAAATATTTATTTGAATTTATTAAGTAAAAAAAAAAATAAAAATTATATTTTATTAATATTTTAAAAATATAAAATATAATTTATTAAATTTTTTAATTATTAAAATTTTATTTTTATTTAATATTATTAATATTTAAAAGAATTATATATTAAATTATACAAATAAACAAAGTTAGAAATTTATATATAATATTTATATAAATAAATAACAAAAAACAAAATATAATTTACTTAAATATTATTGATTAATAATTATTTTTATCACATTTTTATTTAATTATTATTATAATATTTATTTTATAATTCATTTATAATTTTTTTATAATATTTCTTATTATACAAAAAATTTTTATAATTATTTTATTAATTAAAATTCAGTTAATTAAATAAAAAAAAATATTACATATTTTTCTTGATATTATAACAAATAATAACTCAAAATTTATAAAGAATTTTTGAAATAATATTTCTTAACATGTATAAATTTAATAATATAATATTATTTCTTGAAATTTTATATTAAAATATCAAACTGAAATTCTAAAAAGAATAAGAACATATAAAAATTATTTAAACAATAAGCAGTTAAAAATAATATATATTTTAAAATATATAGAAAATAATTATATTAAACAAAAATATTTTATCTTAATAAATTTCTTGATAAAACATAATAAATCTAAGAAATTTAGTAAAATAAAATTAAAAAAATAATTATCTCTTATATTTTGATTATTTAAAATAATTTTATGCATTCTTATTTTTTAAAGCTTTAATTTGTCACTTTTAACACAAATAATATTATGCTATTGAAATTTATGATATTAAAATATTCCAGAAATCCTAAAGAATATTTTCACGTTTTTTAGAATAGCACATTTTTTTATTATTATGGTAAAAATTTGACTATTAAATTTTTCGACAATTTTTCTAACTTCTAAAATCATCCATTTGTGCCTGAAATGCTACAAAACTTTCCTATGTTATTACTATACAAAAGGTCGTTATATTAATAAAAGTCGGCTGTCTTATTTTTTTGTATAACACGATAAATTGCATAAATGTATCGCACTATATTTATCTCACAAATTTCGACAAATTCTATTATTAAAGTACAAATCTAAATTAATTGGAACAACTAAATTTTAGTAGTACATATTGAAACTTAATTAGGTAGTCGTAATATTTATGATCAGTATATAAATATTTTGATTTACGAGTTAAATTGTGTATTTGAGAATTGCCCACTCTTCTCACGACCTAAGCGTCTTGCACGAACGCTTTCACGCAAAATATTTAATACTTCGACAGTAGTTTCCCAACTAATACAGGCATCAGTAATAGATTGCCCATAAACAAGAGTTGAAGGACCGTCCGGTGGAAGATCTTGTCGCCCTTGTAATAAAATAAAATAAAATTTAATGTATATATTATAATTTTTTTATATAATTACATGATAAGCCCTTACCCTCTTTAAGGTGACTCTCAATCATTACGCCAAAAATATTATTGCCAGTTGCTGGAGATTTAAGTTGTTCAGCCTTCATCGTAAGGTATCGTTAATATTCAAAGGTAAAGATAAAATTTAACTAGGCATATTTAATATAGTTATACTTACAATATCTTTTGCCACGTCAACTTGACGACTGAAAATTTTTTGACTATTCCCGTGACTGCAATCAATCATCACGCGAGGAGCCAATCTTTCTTTCGTCAATTTTTCTATAACACTTTTAACGTCTTCAGCTGAATAATTTGGTCCTTTAGCGCCACCTCTTAAGATTACATGACAGCTATCATTACCCTAAAAGAAAATTTTGATTACAATAAATTGATGTCAATAAATAAGAAAAATTTTTATACTTGCTTCGGTTGCTACAATAGCACTTAATCCTTGCTTTGTAACTGAGAGAAAATGATGGCTAACACTGGCTGCTTTTAGAGCATCGACCGCAATAGAGATACTCCCATCCGTACCTTTAAAGAAAATTAATAATCAAAAATATAAATATCTCAATAATTTTCTTTCTATTTGAGCAATAAAAGTTTAACCATTTTTAAAGCCAACAGGCACCGACAATCCAGAAGCCAGCTCACGATGCACTTGTGACTCTGTAGTTCTAGCCCCGATTGCGCCTGAAAACGCGGACGTCCAAAAATAATATATTAATAGGCTACAGGGTAAATTATATTATTATACGCGTAGTTAGAAGTCCTACGGGTATAATTATTATTTATCATTCATAATCACCCCATGCAACCAAATCCGCTATATATTGCGGCGTGATCGTATCTAGAAATTCGCAACCACACGGAAGGCCTAATTGATTCTATAGAAAATAAAAATTAATATAGAGTAATAATACTAAATATGATGAGATATCAAGTAAAAAAAAAAGAGATGGTTACCAGATCAAGTAACAGTTTACGCGCAATACGTAGTCCTTTATTTATTTGGAAACTAAAAATTTAATATGTATATATATTAACAAAAGATGTTGCAAAAAGGAGTAAAGCAATCAAAGAATCTATCGCACCTATTATTCAAATGTGGATCATTGATCAATCCTTTCCAGCCAACTGTTGTTCTGGGTTTCTCAAAGTAAACTCGCATAATTATACAAAGATCAGATTTGGCTTCATCAGCGTAAGCCTTCAATTTTTCCGCTAGAGACAATTATCGTTAATAATGAATCACGCAAGATGTCTCATAAGGCACAAAACAAATAATGATTTACTAACCAAATTCAAGAGCGGCACGAACATCGTGAACGGAACAAGGACCAACAACTACCAAAAGCCTATCGTCTTGACCTTTGACGATTGCTTCCGCTCCAGTGCGTCCACTAATTACACTTTGAGCTGCTTGCATGGTTAATGGGAGATCTTCCATCAAAATTTGAGGAGGAATAAGAGGTTTGATTTGTTTAATGCGTTTATCGTCCAATTCATTCAACGCTAGCATAAAAGAATTTACGTTAATACAACTGAATGTTGCTCTATAAAGAAAATCAGCCTAGTTATAAGTTGGTTTAATATACCTTCGCGCACATGTTTTGCCGTCATTTTTATAAGTCAAATAAGCCGTCAGTAGGTGTTCGCGAGCTTATTTTTTTAGTGTCGATCGATCAATTGAGCTGAAAGTCCCGTGATTGCATTTGTTTTTCCAATGACACGTAAAATACGCGATTTCGCGATTTCTGGTCTTTATACACTATTCTGAATTTTGTACACAAGTATATGGTCTTTCCCGCTAAAACATTGCACAACATGAATAGGAATTCACTTCGAGTTAACGCCGGTTTGAGAAAACAAGAAGTTAAAGAAGCAAACATTCAAGTTGCCGTCCGTTGTAGGTGAGCAATGCGAATTTTCCTTTCACTAAATCCAATCAAGAGCGACTGAATTTCCATAAAATAAACTCTGACATTATATGTCTTATAGAGGCATTAATAGACGTGACAGTTCAAAACGGAAGAAGGAAAGCGAGTTTTCTGTGGACCCTTCAAGGTCACAAATTAAATCCCTTAAAGAACATGGAAAGACATATACTTTTGACCGGGTTTTTGGCGAAAAATCAACGCAGGCTGATATTTTTAAAGAAATAGTAGCTCCCATGCTTGTGGAAGTATGTAATATGTAATGATATAGTTTATTGCGTTTCTTTTCTCTTGAAAGGTTAATGCGCATTATTAAAGATTTATTTTTTTCGAATTCTTTTCAGGTTCTATCAGGGTATGACATTTGACTTATTTTTTTACGCTAATGAATAATTTAAAAGTAGTTAAATTTAATTTTATCTATTTAGATATAATTGTAGTATCTTAGCATACGGGATGACAGGAACAGGCAAAACGTAGGCAACTCACATATTACTTAAAGAGTCAACATTGTTTTAACAATTCTGATATGTTCTTTAGTTATACAATGGAAGGTGGAGATCCTTCGACTGTCCCAATTATAGTGAACAATTGCCCTAGTCAAGACGCCGGCATAATTCCCCGCACTTTAATTGAACTCTTTAACAGCCTTTCAAAGTTCTCCGAATATAGCGTAAAACTCTCATTTATCGAACTCTATAATGAGCAGCCGAGGGATTTGCTCTCGACCGAAAACAATCCTGAACAAATTAAAATTTATGACGATTCTCGTAAAGGAGGTGTTGTGATTCAAAATCTGGAGGAAGTCTTATTAAAAGATGCGATGCACGGCATCAATATTCTCAAACAAGGTTCTGAAAGACGTCGAAAAGCTGTGACGAATTATAATGCGCGATCAAGGTAATTCTTTGAAATATATAAGTTGATTTGATTGCGTCATTTTTATTTTTCTAATGGATAATCCATTTGATTTACACTCATAGTCGTTCACATTGTGTCTTTACGATCACGATACATATTAAAGAAACTACCACGGAAGGTGAAGAACTTTTAAAAGTGGGCAAGTTCAATTTAGTAGACTTAGCGGGATCTGAAAATATTGGACGTTCTGGTGCGGAAGATGGACACGCAAAAGAAGCGGGCTCTATCAATAAAAGTCTATTAACTCTAGGACGAGTAATCGACAAACTTGTTAGTGATTCAGCACACGTCCCCTACAGGTATCAAATATTATGCGAGTTCATTAATGTACATAAAACGGTTGCTGACAGCCTATATTTAGGGATAGCAACTTGACGCGGATCTTGCAAGATTCTTTGGGTGGCCGAACAAAAACCTGCATCATTGCAACTATATCTCCAAGTAGAAATTCTTATGATGAAACCCTAAGTACCTTAGAATATGCACATCGTGCAAAACAAATCAAGAATAAACCGGAGATTAATCAAAAACTTACAAAGATGGTGTTATTAAAAGAATATGTGGATCAAATAGAACGCCTTAAAGCTGATTTGCAGGTATTTATTATAACTATTAACTTTCTTTTGCTTTTTTTATTATTCGGTATAAAGATTAATTTTATAGTTTACACTTTAGGCTGCGAGGGAAAGGAATGGAATATTTCTCACGCCAGAATCTTGGCGAGCAACTCAAGATGAGATTCAAGATCTTAAGACGCAATCTAAAGACCTTCAGGATAATATAAAACAGTATCAAAAAGAAATTCATGAACTTAACGATAAGATAGGTCAGTATTTACGCATGGTAAATAGAGCGGATATATACATTTATATATATCATATATTTCATCTTTATTTTATTTGAATTTGTTAGGGCATATGGAACTCATTGAAATCAGCAATCGTAAAGCAGTGGCAGAATTTCAAGGAACCTTTTTGTCACTGGCTTCAGGACTTGAAGCAGCTATTAGCAAGTCAAAAACTATGGACCTTGAACTTAACGAGGCTATGCACAACCAATTATATACATTCTCAGATCAGGCACAGAAGGTAGTACTAGCTCAAAACAATTAAGTGTATTAAGTTTTATTATTATAATATAATTGACTCTATGTAAACAATTCAAGAATTTGATTGATAGTCAAAAATATATCGACATAGGATTCGACCAGCTTGATAAACGCCGCCAAGAGATCGAGCAACTCTCTACAGATCAAAATAAAGCTTATAGGGAACTTTATGATGAACAAACACGGCTTTTCCTGGGATATCGAGATGCGAATCTTGAAGCTCAAAACAAGCTCAATTCTAGTTTTGAAAACATTTTACAAGGCTTACGACAAGTGCTTGACAATCACTTTTCCAAGGTATAAATTTATCGAATGTGCTTGTTAAATTACATAACCTTTGTCAATTTTACAAAATATTTTGCTATTGAAAAACAGATAAATGCTTGCCATGATAAAGTCAATGAAGAGATGGCGTCTCTAATGACGACTACCCAGAGTCACGTTGAAGCTCAAGACAATACGATCAAGCTATTGCAGAATGTTTTGATGGATACTATAACCTCACAAGTATAACTCTAGTTATTTTTTATTTGTAAGCTGAGTTATTAAGCGAATTAATCTAATAATGTAAATGTTATATGATTTATGATTTTAGCAAAAACGCCGTGAACTATTCTATTCAGAAATTACCAATAAAATAAGTCAATTTGAAAAAGAAGACTGTGAAGACATCCTTTTTTTATGTTCATATTATGTTTGGTTCAATCAAAAATTTATAGTTTATTTCCTTAACAAATAAACACTAATGGGAAAATTCGCTCAAGAGACATCTAAAACCATAGAAACGACAACCAGCTTAAATAGAGAGCATCTGAGCGCTTTAGAGAGATCTTATGAATTGACGAAAAGTCATCTAACATCACTTGAGCAGGTAGATATTTACATATATTGAAGTAATCACAGTAATTCATCTATTTATTAAAAATTCTCTCTAATCTCCAGGAACCAAATGAGGAATTAAAAACAAAAATCGAATCGATTCAAACCGGAGTAAAGTCTCACAACGAATTATCAATAACTGCAGCGAATTCCGTTTTGGATGCATTGACCTCAACAAATGACTCCGGTAAGCAATGCGGGGCATTGTATTTTTTACTTATGAGATCCAATTGATTCTTAGTGCCCACGTTTTTTGCGTTTTTTGTTAGCTGACAAAACTTTGGAAAGGCTTGGACAAGAACACTCCAAGTCACTCGGAATATTCAGTAATGATATCGAGAAAATGTATTCCGATATGAGAGTTCCACTTGCTAATATTCAAGATGGATTACAAAATTCATTAATACCTTTCGAAGAAATGGTAAGAATTAATTTTTTTTTAAATAAACGCATATAACATCTCAATTCTAATATGATGCTTTAGACGCGCGAAAAAGCGAATAAAACACAAAGAGTCTATGATGATGCCATTTCATATATGCAAAAAGCCCGAAATGAAGTAAACATACTTCTGACAGAGAAAGTAAAGGTAATTATTATTATTATTATCATGATGATGATGATGCAATTAGAAAATTTATTTTTAGTGATTAAAAAAATTTATAGTCCGAGGTCTCTAGGAAGAGAACGAATTCCCGTGTGCCCCTGCCTATTTCTGCTACCTTTAAACGACAGAAGATTGATAACGACGATGCTATATCAGACTTATAATATATATCAGACTTATAATATAACCTTTAACTAGCATTCAATACGTAAATATGAGTTCGATTTTTTATTAACGACGTTTAAATATAATAATTCTTCCTATCTTCTTTTACTGAATTTAGTTTATTATTCTTCTGATTTTTTTTGAAGTACAGTTTGAGCGATGCGATCAAGATCACGCTGCCCATCTTGTGTAATTTTACGACCTCTAGAAAATTCAAATAAAAAACTTAGTTATTTTTTGTACTTGATTAGTAGTAATTTCAGAATTAGATTTAGACCTACATACCCTTTAGGATCTTTTTCTAGTACGTTTATTTTCTCTAGTGCCTGAAGGACTTTACGCGCTATAGCGCCAGATGAATCTGCGTGATGTGAGGGGCGGGTGCCTCTTCGCTTACGTCCACCATGAAGTTTTTTTAATGCTCCAACACCTACACCATTTCGTAAATAGATATGACGAGCGACGGCAGCTATTATTAATGATTTTCATTTTAGTAAAAATTTAATTTATTAATTTAAAGAAATAACGGAGTATATAAATTTACCTGCTCGAATGTAGAACCAATCAGCGTCATACGGTGCTAGTTCTTTATATGCGCCAGTTTTGACCAGGTCAACCCATTTTGGAACTTCTAGTTTACCAGACCGTTTAAGATATCCAGCATAGGCTTTAACAAACTCATGAGGATTAACGTCTTTTACCGTGGCAGACCCAACCATCTATACAATTAAAAGAAACCAAAAGACCAAATATAAAAAGATTTAATATAAATATAATAAGGGCAAACTTGTCAGTCCCACCGTTTAACTTCTATTCAAAACACGAGCATACTTCGCTCTTCCCATACTTTTTAAGTTTTCGATATTGCAAGGTCGAGAGAAAGAGAATTTATTCTTCACTTTATAAAAATTTTTTTAAACATCTTCCATAATTTGAATTACGAAATCAAACCAATCAAAATTAGTAAATCTAAACATCTAGCGCGTATAACCCGCGTTTTTTTTAAAATTGTTAGTTTTATTCAGTTTTTGTCGCTCTCATGGAATTACGTGTGTTGGGAAAATTTTCTCCATTTGGGGAAACGTTCATACATCATAATACTATTGATGACAGTGAACAAGCTTCAAGGCTTCAAAACAACCACAATATTCGGCCTTCGTTTGAATCTGCTTATCAACTTTACCCGTCACAAAGCAATGCTCAAACAAGTAAACTCAAAAATCGGAACTCTGATTTTGAGGAAGAAATATATGTCAAAGACAAACTTGTAGTTTGGAGCCGCGGAAACTTACTCAAAAAAAGTTTTAAGTTTGAAAGCCCTGTTATTCAGGCATTATTTGTCTGGTTCGAAAGTTATACACAAACGCCACAAAATTCTCTAGACGCTAAATCTTATGTTAATGTTTCAACACGCGAGCGCTGCCTGTGCGTTATACTTCATAATTCAGCGAAAGTATATTTCGAAAATGGAGATTCTCATGAATTTAGGATACCTTCTGTTCAGCGAGCTTGGGCTTTGGAGCTTGGGATATTATTTGAATGTTTCCTTGAAGATAATCCTTGTTTATCAGAGTCAATGCAAGACGATTCTACAACCGCACCACCCCCAACTCTGCTCAGTCTTCTTGATCCATTGGCCGAAATTAAAGCTATTTCGATAGTTGACAAGATACTTTATAATAATGATGAATTGGTTTTTTTGGGACCAATGAATCCTTTTACTAATGTGGATGAAGAATTGATTTTCGTTGGTGGAGCAATTACAAATGATCCCTTGATATTTACGTATAATCGTCAAATAGGCCGACAATATTTGTATAGATATGGAATCAAAAGAGGAAATAATATTATTGGCGAAATGGAAAATTCAGAACGACGGAGTTCTGGTTTAAAATCAGATTTGGTAGACAGGTTTTTACACCCTGATTCTCAAAGTTTCTTGTCATATGAAAGACGAGATTTCTCTGAGGCCTCTGTAGAGGTTTATTTAGAATTACTCTGGTCAGAAAATTGTCATACAAGGTAAAATATTTGCTCTAATTCTGTTTTATCAAGTCGTTTTTTTATTAATTTCCTTATTTTTTTAGTGAACCTATAAATAATTTTTCTGCATTTATTGCACATGAGTTCAATGGTGGAAAGGTCTTTGGAATATTTTCGAGATCAAAGGAGACCTTAACTTTATTAGACATCTTACAAGAACATGATCACTATCGGATCTCATTCAAGTCTCAGTTCTCAGCTTTGGCTGCGATGTCAATTTCAGCGACTCGCCAAAATTTATTAGATATGTTACTGCTTAAGAAAGATAGAACTTTGGAACTTTGGATCGGTGCTGACAAATTTTTGCCGATTACGATTCCGAACGAAGAGCTTTCTTACATGAAAGAAGAATCCTTTGTAGATAGGGTTATAGATATAAAAGATTGTGTCAAGCATCGAGTTAATATTGTACTAGCTGACAATATGGTTTTAAGGACAAGTCTCAAGTTTATACCGTCTTCCACCTTAGTTAGGAGTTGCATGGGCTCTTTAAGTTTCGCTATACCAGTTTCGGAATATCTTGAGTTCAAAATGAGGTTTCTTCAATATAATTTTGGGAATGCTAAAAAGTATATGGAAATTCCTCAGGCGAGTGAGTGGGAAAATTTCGTCGTTACCCTACTATCCTTTTGTCATACAAATCCTAGCGGTGATGTTGGTATGTCTGACAATGATCAAAGTACGTCAATTCTTTACAACGACGATGATTGGAATGCGATGTTGTCTACACGTCATCATTGCAAAATTCAATTAAACAGCATATATCAGAGTTTAGAGCCTCCTAATGCCCACGCAATGGATAAATCGATCATAAACGATTGCGAAAAGTCAAAAAAGCTTGCAGTCCTGTTTTCTTTCGAACGTAATTTCCAAGCATACCTTCCATCCATTCTGTATGCTTTGCATTTACTCTATGAGGATTTAAAATTGAATGTCATCTTACAAAAGTATATGCAGTATCACTTGCCGTTGCTAATGCAATTGGCCAGTTTGCTTGGCTGGGAGTCTTATTTGGATTATTATACGAGGCATAATATAACTGGGAAATCCTTGAAACTTGCAGAAGGTAAGCTTAATATTTAAAAATACACTGTATAATTAAATGTCGAATAATATATTAATCTGAAAATTTGTAGATACAATTAATACCGAGAAAATTGAATATAATAAATCAATACTTTCACCTCCAAATATTTACCAATGGATTCTTTATAGGCTAAGAACAAAAGGCGTCGTCACACAATTTCCTTCAGTACATGATATCAGTGTATTATTCAACATATCAATTACAGAAATTAACCGTGATTTCGATTGCTGTACACGAACATTAAAAGTCTGTGGCTTCTATAATGAGTTATTTGCAGTAGGCCCGGCTTCGATGGTCCTTAAAATGGCGCGGGAAGGTTTTAAATTGAAAGATGTAGATGCCTTACCTTTCGGTATTGCTCTGCCGTTACGCGAGGCCATCCGAAAATGTCGGATGCGCCCGCCAAATGATTGGCCTGGCGATGCTTATATTCTGATAGGTTGACATTGTCGTTTGATGTTATCCAACTCATTAAATAGAATTAATTGTTTTAAATTAAACAGGCAGAGAAGATCTAGCAGAGTTGATTTCTGGAAATCCAATAGCAGCCACTTATTTCCATTCTCGGCGTGGATTAAAATTGGTATTTTCACGAATATTCAACTCAGTATCAAAAATTTAAGAACACAAAGGCTTATTATATCTTTTACAGGATCGAAAACCTGATCACATTCACGCCATTTGTCAATCGATCACGCCTTTCGAAGCATCCACATCAAATAATCCAGGTGGGCTACCTGGGATTAATAATAATAATGGCAATAGCAATAACAATAATCGTGCAAACATTGCTATCGAAACCGCTACGGAGATTAGCAATCATGAAATATCTGATTTGCGCTTTGACCGAGATCGCAGACTAGTAGAAGTTCAACGACTTTTGCATCCTTCTAATATAATAAAACTGTCCTCAGTAGGAGCTGATCAAAATGGGAATGAAGGTGATATATCGGGTAGAAATTTAGAATGGATTTCTGCTCATTGTATGAAAAATTTTGCACAGCCTGTTGGACGTGGTATTCTCACGTATGGGACGACAACACCAATTGCTACCGAAGTATTTCCTATTCCAGGAATATGCACAAGCGTCCGAATATTACCTTCTAATACTGTTAGGGTTTTAGATAGAGGATTACGTTCTCAAGAAATTATCGATTGGCCTGAATTTCACGATGGTGTAGCTGCAGGTCTTCGTATTACTCGCGAAAGCACAGAAGTTGATGGATCATGGATTGCACTCAATAAGCCGAAAGAGCTCAGCAACGGTCATGCTGGATTCTTATTAGGTTTAGGTTTGAATGGACATTTGAGATCTTTGGGTGCATGGAGAGCTGTAGATTATTTGATGAAAACACCAAAACACGATATGACTTCGATTGCTTTGGTCATTGGTATTCCGGCGTCATATTGTGAAACAATGGACACTCAAATAACGAAATTAGTTGGGGTTCATGTGCCTGCTCTTCTCCCTCCCAACTCTACTTCTTTAAATGTTTCATCCTTAATTCAAACTGCTGCGGTGCTTGGAATAGGTTTACTTTATTTGGGAACATGCCATCGACGTATGGCTCAGGTCATGCTTGGAGAAATTGGAGGGAAAAGCTTAATGGCTGCAGAAAACACAGAAATTGATTATCGGGAAGGTTATTCTCTTGCGGCTGGCTTTGCTCTCGGTTTTATCACACTGGGTCGTGGACATGACGCTCCAGGTCTTGCGGATCTTGATATTTTTAAAGAATTGCGCTTGCTAATAACAGGTGGCAAAGGCAAAAATTTCGCTGCACCTTCACAAAACTCGGGATATGGGGGCTCTAGAGCCGGAGACATCAATGTGAATACAACATCATTAGGCGCAACGATAGCCCTCGGTCTAATATTCTTGAGGACAAACAATGAAAGTGTAGCAGATAAAATTACAATTCCTAAAACTGCCTACTTTCTGGATTTTGTACGGCCAGATTTTCTTGCAGTCAGAATTCTGAGCAAGAATTTAATAATGTGGGATAACATAGAATGCAATGTAGCTTGGGTCGAAAAGCATATTCCCGCATTTATTAAAGAAAAACTTGAAAAAAACCCCGACGATGATAACATTGAGTCTATAAAGCAATCCTATTACTATATACTTGCAGGTGCATGTTTTAGTATTGGCTTGAAATATGCAGGCTCGGCAGATGAAGTAGCCTTACGTTGCCTCTTACATTATCTGGACTTTTTCATGGGACGTGCGAATGCGCGAGGTATGCCAGAAAATATTCAAGATACTATGAAGGAAATCAATAATCATCTAATTAAATTATTTCTTCATACAATAAATAGCCACTTCCTTTGATCAAAGAATTACACATCAGACGGTAAAGACATGTGTAAACGTACTTACAACATCAGCTGGTATTGTTATGGCAGGCACCGGGAATTTGGAGTTGTTGCGAAGACTGAGAAAATTGCATCGACCGGAAATCAATCACGTTATTTCGCGTAATTATGGAAGTCATATGGCAACTAGCATGGCTTTAGGATTTCTGTTTCTAGGTGGAGGTACTTTTACTCTCTCTACGTCCAACAAAGCAATAGCTGCACTTGTCTGCTCTTTATTTCCTCGATGGCCGACAGATCCTACAGATAATCGAACACACATGCAAGCATTTAGACATTTATGGGTCCTCGCGCTTGAACCGAGGTGTCTTGTCGTTCGCGACGTCGAGACGAGAGAAGCATGCCACATGCCTGTTAAAATAATTGTCAGGGGCACAGAGGAATCACATGAAGTTCAAATAGAAGATGGTCATTCAAATAAACTAGAGCATATGGTTGCCCCTTGTTTATTGCCAGAAGCAAGGTTTGTGGAACGGATTGAAATTGATACTCCTAGATATTGGCCGATAAGTCTTGACTTGAGGAATAATCAAACACTTGCCAACCGATTTTGGCAAAATCCAATTATATATGCTAAAAGAAAGATGGGACATCTGAGTTACTTGGAGGTAATCTCTAATTAGTTATTTTTATTTACTCTTAGTTGAATATTGATAAGTGTATAATATTTTTTAAATAGGATCCTCAAAGTATTTGGAGTTTGAACTCGCGCCTATTTCCACGCAAAACACCAAGTAATCAATCAACTGGCGGTCGACACAGTAATAAGTGGGAATTTGTCAAGGTTTTCTCATCAGATCCTCAAGTCTTAGCTTTTGCAAGGCATTTTTGTGAAAATGAAATGGATCGAGATTTAGCGACATTTTGTACTGGCGTCTTGCAGGAATGTTTAAACTCGGATAAGCCTGAAGCGATTCAGATTTATTTAGCTCTCTATCAAAGCCAGCAAAATCTTAATATGAATGTGCTTTTATTATGGAACATCAAGATTCTTCTCGCTTATTATGAGCATACTGTAATTTCTTGTCCTGATGCGACTCAAGATTATGCTCTCATCCAAAGTGCGTTCATTACTTCAATTAGGCAGAATATGAATAAGTTCTTTTCTCCACCATCAGAAAACGAACAATCGTCATTTGCTCGTATTTTACAATATTACTTTACAAATTTGAAATTCCCCTCAGCCGAAGAATTGGAAGGCACGAATTCTACCGAGCTATTAACTCGATTGGCCAATTTTCTCGTCTATAATGATGTACCAGATCCCAAAACAATACGCAATATTAGTAGTTGCATTCAAAGTTTACGAGCTAGTCTTGCACAGGATCGTGTAATTTACGATGATAGTGGATTAGTGAATGGTCATGTGCTCAATGTACTCTTGATATTCTTGCCGCATTTAACGAAAAAGACTATTCAGACAATAGTAAGAATGTTGTCATAAATAGAGATATGTGCAGCAAAGTCTATTCTTTGCATAATAACAATAATTAAAGTTAGTAACCCTTTCGAGTGTTTATAATTGTCATTATAAGGTAACTATCCATTTTTAATTAAAGTTTGGTGTTGGGCGTCTCCGCTGCCTTTTTTGTACAATCACATATATCATGGATAACGTTATGGTAATGACGCATATGGATATTTTATTGGATACGAATTTGAAGCCCTTATATAGTCAAGAAAAGCTGATTTTCTAATCTATTCTTTTACACTATACAACAATTATCCTTAGACATAATGATTATTCCTTTCCTACAAGTTTAATTTTAAGAAGCGATTGTCACTTCGACTTCAACGCCGGGTTCTATTGAGATAGAAGTCTATGATGCCGATCAGGGATAAAATTTAATCGAAAATTCCAGCAATTAAAAAAAATCAACAGTCGAATTATTATCATAAAAAACAACAACAAAGATGCTTACAATTTGCTTAACGATTTCACTGGGAGAATGCAAATCAATCAATCGTTTATGAATTCTCATCTCATAACGATCCCAAGTCTTTGAACCTTCACCACAAGGGGACTTGCGGGTAGTAATACGCAATACTTTTGTGGGAAGACGTACGGGACCTTTTACGCGCAATTGCTTATCTTTGGCGCGATGGATTAAATCAGCGCATACTTTTTCGAGTTCTTTCACTTTGCGCGAAGTCAAAGTGATACGGATACGATGAACCTATTCACAAAAAAAGATGAAATCCCAATATGTAAAGACCACAATATCATCAAAAAAAAATAACGATTTTTATGTATATATCTCAATCAATTTATCAAGAAAAAATAAAATTTTCACAACAAATGATTTTTTATTTAATTAATGATGCCAATTTTTTTATTATCACCTTTGGCGCTTCTTCAATATAGTCGTCTTTGCCTTTAGCGACGTAACTCATGCTGGCGTTGTTAATATTTTACTGTTCAGCGGAGACAGCGGTGACTAAAGGACCAAATTCAAGAGTAAGAATTAAAAAAATCGAAAAAATGAGACTGCAGAAAGAGGAAAGAGATGACCATCAAAAATTTGAGCACCATTTTCTAAAAAAAATCCAGTGAAAAATTTTATCGTAGCGGTAGATGATCATTCAACATACACATACACATATATACACACGCACAAAACCATATTATGATAAATTATGCAAAATTTTGCCCAGATATTTGCCTAAGCTGATTGATGCAACACATTAATAAAACCCCATAATTAAACGAGTGAAAAACTTCCCCACCAAATTTTTTGTCTCTTGACACTCAAAAAAAAATAGCCAAAAAATAATTCCCTTAAAATAAACATTTGTCTTATCGTACCAAGGAAGCCACCCTCCAATCTAAACCTTGCAGTTAACATATAATTTTCTCAGTAAAAAAACCAGCTAGCTATACATACACACTTTGAAGCTCTACTATTTATATTGGTCTACTCTTCACATACTTGCCACACTTAAATATTTTATTGTCTTAAATCAAACATCTCTGTATACTCTTGAAAGAAATCTACCATTTCAATAGGGCTATTCTCTCATACGCCCAGCTTCTTTCTATAAATAATATTTCACTAAAAAAAAAATACAAGCCTATTTGAACTCATCACCCTTTCCCCTGTATTATAATTTCGTTTAAATATACTGTTCAAAATGGCTAATAATATTACACAACCACAGCAGCATCAACAACATCTAAAGTAAGTTTCCAAAGCTTTTTCCATTAAAAGCACCTTTTGCATTCTGAACGTTTTGCATTTGGCTTTTAATTCCAGGTCATTAGGAATTGTTGTGCATAAATGACACGAAATAATAGATAGTTAAACTCGTAATTTCACCAAATTAACTGTGTGTATTATTTTGATTTTCATCATTATACAGCCATGAAAATGATAATTGGAAAAAAAATCTGCGGTTTCCACCAAAAGATAATCGGCCGCAAACTGAGGTAGGCCGAAATCACTATTTTTTCGTTCTTTAGTTCACGTTTCTCAATCCTCTCGCGAGACTTATGAAATAATGTAATTTGTATTACAGGATGTCACTAACACAAAGGGTAACGAATTCGAGGACTATTTCCTTAAACGTGAACTTCTGATGGGTATATTTGAGGCCGGATTTGAACGTCCATCACCTATTCAAGAAGAATCTATACCCATCGCATTAACTGGTCGAGACATCCTCGCAAGAGCCAAAAATGGCACAGGAAAAACGGCGGCATTCGTGATTCCTGCTCTAGAAAAGATCAATACAAAAAAGCCAAAAATTCAGGCACTTTTGCTTGTCCCAACAAGAGAATTGGCCTTACAGACATCGCAAGTCTGTAAAATGCTCGGAAAACACATGGGAATTCAGGTGATGGTAACAACCGGCGGTACAACATTAAAAGACGATATCTTGCGACTCAATGAAGTTGTACATATTGTTGTTGGTACGCCAGGGCGTATCCTGGATCTCGCCGGAAAGAATGTTGCCGACTTCAGCGAATGTCCAACTTTTGTTATGGACGAAGCTGATAAATTATTGAGTCCTGAATTCTCTCCAATCGTCGAACAACTTTTGAAGTATTTCCCCAAAGATCGACAAATAATGCTGTACAGTGCTACTTTCCCCTTAATTGTAAAAAGTTTCAAGGTATTGTTTTTGCGTTATATTTTATACTAATTCACGTGTAAACAGAAATATGCACTTCCACATTCATTAATATCAATCAACTATTTAGGATAAACATTTAGTAAAACCATATGAAATTAATTTAATGGACGAACTTACGCTCCGTGGCGTTACACAATATTATGCTTTCGTCGAAGAACGACAAAAAGTACATTGTTTGAATACATTATTCTCAAAGGTTTGTACACTCATTTAGATGATTCAAATCATGTATGATAAACTTGCATCATTAATATTAAAGAGGTTTATTGATTAATTGTATATTTTTGTGCTTTTTTATTGTCATTTTAGCTCCAAATAAATCAATCTATTATTTTCTGTAATTCAACAAATCGTGTCGAACTTTTAGCCAAGAAAATCACCGAACTTGGATATTCATGCTTTTACAGTCATGCAAAGATGTTGCAAAGTCATCGTAATCGTGTTTTCCACGATTTTAGGAATGGCGTTTGTCGTAATTTAGTCTGTTCCGGTATGTAACCTATATACTTGATTGTTAAGCAATAAAGATATCATTTATTAATTATATTATAATTGTTGTTACTATCCAGATCTATTGACTCGTGGTATTGATATTCAAGCTGTGAATGTTGTAATCAATTTTGATTTCCCCAAGAATGCCGAGACTTATCTCCATCGTATTGGACGATCAGGAAGGTTTGGACACCTCGGGCTCGCTATTAATCTCATTACATACGAAGATCGATTCAATCTTTATAAGATAGAACAAGAACTTGGTACTGAGATTCAACCCATCCCCCCTGTCATTGATAAACGTCTGTATGTAGCACCGAGCTCTCTTGACGAAGTTCAACATCAACAGCAGCAGCAGCAGCAGCAGCAGCAGCAGCAACAGCAGCAGCAACAGCAACAACAGCAGCAGCAGCAGCAACAGCAACAGCAAAACAATAATCAAACTGGTCGTACGCAACCTTCACGACATTCTACTTCTGGTGGTGTTAGGAATAACAATACTGGACGATCGGGCGGTGTTGGCGTCAAAGCAGCATCCTAATTAATAATTGGAATCCCACATGTTAGCTCGCTTAATACCTGCCTAATTAAATATAACTAATATTTGATATATTGGAATAGATCATCATCAACAATATCATATATCTAGAAATGAAGAACTTTACCTCTTGCAAGCTTTCAATTAATTGTCCCAGTTTTTATATAATATTTTGTCTTTTATCAACTCAAAAAAAGAAATCTATAGATTTCCTTCTTTTTTCCCTTTAATCTTTCCATTAATAATCATCATTCCCGTATAGTTTCCATCACAATCTTTATTTCCTTTCTTTGATGCCTTTTACAAATAAATATCATTGGAGTTTTATTTGTATGTAATGTAATTTTCTTTTTCTTTTTTCTTACATAATTTGCCCGTTTTCTCTCCTTTCCTGAAATTAATAGTATTTTCAGATCTATAATGCTATTCTTCCGAATCTTCTGGCTTAATATCTAAATCTATTGAATCAAATTCACTCCTTTATTATTTTATTGTTCGTTTTAATATTTATAATATTGTTAGTGCAATGATAGATTGACTTAACTCTCAAATAACGCCATATAATCTACAAAGAAATTCTGGTCGACTATAAAAATGGGAATTAGTCTTTTTATTACTATATTTTTTGGATTTGTGTCAAAGAACATTTACTATAAGATCAAATCCAAAAAAGCTTTATGATACACAATTCATTTTTTATTATTATTATTATTATTGAATTTCTGTAGATTATTTAGCGTTTTAATGTTAATGTATGTATATCTTTCTCGATATATATACTGGGTTTAATATTTACTTTCAGATATTTTATATTCGACCAATTATCCTCTTTACTTCCATCCATCCTTCATTCCTTCTTTCCTCACCTGTTTCATTCATCACCGACTTTACCTTCCTTTTTTTACCATCATCATGTTTCTCTTTCACACGGTTGGAACCTACGTGAGAATTTCACTCCATTTCACAGATTCATGTAACCGCTCTTTGGGTTAAAATTCATGTCTTAAAAAATAACAGTCCAATTGTTGATTCACGAAAATAAAAAAAAGATGTTGATCTTTTAATGTGATTTAAAAATCTTTGGGTATGGGTATATTTAGTGATCCGACCCGGGTTAGTATCATCCGGGTGGGTCGTGTGTCCGGTGGTACCCTGGTGGCAAGTAGATAATTTTTCCTTTACCATTAAATCTTTTTTCGTCGTTTGAAACCCGACCCGATAACTCAAAACCTCCGACAATTCATAAATTTCAAATTTCACTTTCCGTTGGCATGAGCAACAAAAATGTCGCTGATTTTTAGCCTGTCCTATGATAGAATTATGGTAAGTTTATTTTTTATGATACGATTTCATTTAGCAAATTTGCTTGCAAGTACAGTCGAACCTCCATAAAGTACACTCTATAAAGGAACAACCTCTTGCAAAGACCTTTTTTTATAGAACCAATTAATTATATATATATATATTAATATATATTAGAACACCTCTATGATAGAACATAATTTAGATCACCTGCGAGTGATCTATCCGGATTGCTATAATTCAATCCGGATGGGTGACTTCTAAAACTTACCGGATTAAGAGGTTCACTAAAGCAGGATAGTTTGACGTGATTTAAAGATTCAATCAGGATTCATTATGTGATCAGTTTCTAATCACATGGCGCGAATTTTATCAATACAGAATCGAATTATTCAAGAAAAAGATATCAATAATTATAGAAATAATCACAAAAATAAATAATGCAAAACAATAATATAGAAAATTATAACAATAATAATAATAATAATAATAATAATAATAATAATAATAATAATAATAATAATAATAATAATAATAATAAT